CGGGGCCCCAGGCGCCAGTGCCCCCCTCGCCAGACGAGCCTTTGACTTTATTTGGTGCAGCACGCGCTGCCCCGGCCTGCGCGCGCATTCCTGCGGGCGCCAACTCACGCGCGGGACGCTAATTTTAGCACCGCAGCTGGCGCGGGGCGCCGCCCGTGCAGTGGGGCGGGACGCACGGGGTGGAGAGGGGCCTGCCTAGTGGGGAAGCGGTCCGTGGATTGGGGCGAGGATCGCGGAGTGGGGCGGGGCATGAGGTACCGAGTGGGGCGGGGGACGTGGTGGAGACCCGTGGAGCAGGAACAGAGCGGGAAAGGGTAGAGCGCGCGCGCGCAGTGGGCGCGCCGGAGCCTCCACGTGCCCATTTGCGGTCCTGGATGAGAGGGAGTGGAAGCCTCTCCTCCATGCAGCGAATTCAGTTCCATGTGTTCCTCTGGGCCTGACCCGCTTCTTTCTGTAACAGGGACTGGGGCAGGCTGGACTGGAGGCTTCTTTTTAAAACACGCCTTGCTTCCAAACTGCCACGCAAAGTTAAAAGGGGAAAAGGAAGAGCCCTAGCCTGACCCCGCCCGTTGTGACCGGGGCTCAGCGATTGTGCGCAGATGCGGCAGGACGCAGCCGCTTTGATGCTCAGCCAAAGCATGGCCGTTGTGTGCAGCACAATGCATGCATTGTGCGCATGCCCGTCTGTGTTCCTAGGTCAGAAAGCTGCTGTGGCTCGGTATATAAATTCTAGGACACTCCGTTCTCCTGTGTGTGGAGTTAGCCTCTACGCTATTTCCCACACTCATGGTTGGTAGGGGAGCCTCTGTGGACCAACCTGTCCACTGTGCCCTTGGCCAAGAGAAGGGGCCTTTGCAACCGGTGGCTTTGACCTAACCTCACAAGTGGATCTAAATTAGGCTGTAGCTTGAGGTGCCTGCTTGGGGGTGTTAGAAGAATGGTACAGACACCCATATGGTGCTTATTAGAACAGTCTCTAACGACTGTGACCCGCCTGTGAAATTCTGATTTCAGTTGTATATGGGGTACAATAAATCTTTATCTTTTATCGCTCAAAAGGCTAATTGAATTGCTGCTGGCAGCACAAATAACAAAATGGGGTAACAGCCTGGGTGGAGCGCTCCCTCAACCCCCAGCAGTCTTTTCCGGTAGCTACTCAATCGGTAGCAACTCAATCCAAGATGGCTGGCTATAGGGTTATAACTCAGGTGGATCCAACAGTCCTTTCCGTGTTCTGCAGATCTCTTGATAGCATACTTAAAAGTCATAAGAGAACAAAACTTGTGGCTCACTTAAAACAAAAGCTGGGCAGTGGTCATGCACACCTTTAATCCCAGCACTTGGGAGGCAGAGGTTGGATCTCCATGAGGAGTTCGAGGCCAGTCTTTTCTTTTCTTTTTTTTTTTTTTTTTGAGGCCAGTCTTTTCTACAACAGAGTTCCAGGACAGCCAGGGGTACAGAAAAACCTTGTCTCTAAAAACAAAACTAACCAACAAACATTAAGATAAATCGAAGCCCTTAGCTGTGCTGAAATACTGTTTCTGTTTTGTTTTCCTGGAGACACTGCTACCACACACATACAGCTCAGAAGACGCTGAGCTGCGGCAGGAAAGATGTTTTCTAAGTGGCAGAGAAATCTGCAGTGACCTAAATATCTGTCTGCTAAGGCTGTTGCCACCACACTCATCCAGTATAGCTTGACTCATCTGTGCCCAGTCTCCCGGTGAGCATCTGAACTGTTAATGATACTGATGACTTCCTTAGAATCACTAATTGCTAAGTAAGAGTGGTTAAGGGGGTAAGATCTCAAGATTACGTAACAAGATATTTTGCACAAAATGTACGCTATATTTAGAAATATTCAAATGTGGCGGTATTACCCTATACAGGATGTGTTAGCTCACTGTGGAGGATGTACTGTGTGTATTTTACGATCTAAATAAATTCTACGGCCCCCATTCAAAGGCCAGCCAGTACCCGATGCTCTGAATTCTCACAGGGAATCCTGTCATCTTGGTCTCTGGACCTAATCTATCTAGAGGCGTTTCCAATGATTTTGGGGTAGGTTCTGCTCCCACTGGAAGGATGTTGTTTGATTTTTGGGCTAGTGTGCATTACAGAGGGCCAGCCTGTTCCCACCCCCCACACACACACATTCAAGGTGAAACTTATATCATGACAAAAGTCATTCTACTGACTTTTGCATTCAAAATAAAAGGTCACTTTTTAACCAGGTATGGTGTTGCATGCCTTTAGTCCCAGAATTCAGGAAGCAGGAGGCAGCAGATAACTTTTGAGTTGAGGCCAGCCTGGTCTACCAGGCAGGTTCTAGGCTATGCAATGAGACTGTCTCAAAAAAAAAAAAAAAAAAAAAAAAAAAACCAAGAAAACCAAAAACCCAAACAGTGCTTATGATACCATGTGCAAATAATTAAAAACCATTATGTCTCTATAGTACTTTTGTCCTAAAATACCTTTCTTGTTGCCCCAAGAGGACACCATGTTGGGATTTAAATACTCCAGACACACAAACCCTACAAACACAATTTTGTAATTTTTTTGTTTTAAGAGCTGTAATACTTTCGAAATAAATCAAAGGGAAGTGGTGTTAGAATAGGGCTGTCTCGGGGGCAGGTGACACTGCTGGGTTAAAAAGCCCATGGCTGAGGTGTTTCAGTCCTGGGAACTGAACCCAGGGCCCCATGCATGTTAGGCAAGCACTCCACCACGGATGTACTCTTCAGTCTTAATGATCAGCAAGGGGAGTGTGATACCCCCACTATGTATTTAGCTGGGAATCCAGAGATATCCAGTGGTAATCCCTAAACCCAATCACCTCCAACTTCCAGTGTTGAGTGTAAGCTACATGGTGTGTGTGTGTGTGTGTGTGTGTGTAAGAAGGGCATTCTGGTGGGGTGAAGATGCAGGCTGCCCCCTAGAAAAACAGGAAGGCGGGACCTGCATGATTGACAGTCTGGGAACTTTATATCTCTGCTTCTGCTCTCAACTTAATTCTGGTAGTAGGCTTAAGCAGCAGCCCTTAAGGAGTTAACCATGGGCTGCATCTAGAACCCAGGGTGAAGAAGTAGGTATGAGCCTATTCACTGAGCATCTGACCTTGGTCTGTGACCAAGGAGAAACATGTCTTCTAGCTTCCTATGAACAGAAGGCAAGCAGATGAGGGTGACCTCAGATCAACGGTGGCTACCCAAACATTTTGCTGGAGGATTCCATGCATAATCAAGAAGGTGGGCATTTCACTTATCCAATAAGATGATCTATAAATCATGTGCAGAAACACTGGCCAGTGTAAGACTTGTCTCAGAACTAGGATTCCCCAATTTTTTTTAACCCTTTCATCCCCACATCAAGAACCTAGTCTACTTAACTGAAGAACTGGATGTAATCACTTACACATCGTTGGAAGGTGCTTTAAAAAAAATTTTTTTTTAAAACGTGACTTCTGCAAGAGATATTGTGTCACAAACGAAAAAAAAAAAACAAGCATTTTCAAGAAAACCAAAGCTAAGTTTAGCCTATTTCTTGTTATTAAATGAAAAAGTCATTCATTGCTTTTTGAAAAATGCATTCAGTGGACTACTAATGAAAAAAACTTAAATATACATGGGATAGCATCCCTCCAAGTCACAGGACCCTCCCTCACCCCCCCCACCAAAAGGTGCTGTTGATGCCATCTTAAAACATACTATGACTGTTTATTTCTAGCCTTGAACTCTTCCTAAAAGTCACCGCTCACTATCACAGGAGCCTACCTCTGACCACAGGTCAAGAGATGTATCCTTCAGGAATTCCCTACTATGTGGTGATAAGCGTCAGTTAAGTAACCCCTGGGGATTCACACCTAAACAAGCCTCTCACGTGGCTCTGTCTACACCTCATTCCACAGCTTTACCGAATGTAGACCCCACCCCCACCCCCAAGGTACTTGTCTATGGCCCAAGATGTCACAAAACTTTTCAAAGAGCAGATAGATCCAGGTCGGGACAGGCATCTCAGCTTCCCGCCATCTGTTCCTTCCAACCCGTTCTTGCTGAGTGGCTCTGCTGCAAAGCAAACTAGTACTTCCCAGATGACCTCTGCTCAGATCCTATCAGTGCTCCTCCCCCCTCTACACCCTCCCTCGCTCCCAGAGCTGCCCCTTTGTAGTCTCCTATCTTACTTGTCCTGAAAACCCCAACCCCATACCCCCTTCAGGCTAGCTATGACCACGACAGCTACCCTGAGCTTGGTTTTAAAAAAATTTAAAAAAAGGCCTTGGAAAACGTTCAGTGCTCCCAATTTTATTTTTATTTAATGCTAAAAGAAAAAAAAAAAGGTACTGTAAAATCTGACAAATGACAGAACGCAGGTGATCGCTCTCCATAGCGTGGTTTTAAAATGTAACGTTGATAGCTAAGATTACACTTATTTCAGTAGACATTGAGTTTCGTCATAGATAGAAAAATTATCACCTTCAACTTTAAAAAGAAAAAATAAAGCAAAGGTTTAAAGGTGGCACACTTTCAAAATACTTGGTGGCCAGGGAAAGGTATATAGAAAAGCTGTAAACCATGTGTATGTTCTTGTAACTCCAGAGTGAGGCCACATGAAAGACACTAACTCTACCTGTTAAATTCTATAAACTGTTAAAGAAAAAAAAAATAGCCTGACAACCCCATCCCCCAGTATTCTGGACATTAAACTCACAGCTAGTATTAGGAATCTGACATTTCTACCCAGCTGTGGACTATATCCATGGTGTCATCAAGGACAAGAAAAGATCAACCCAGGTCCCCGTGTGACCGTTACAGAGTAGGCCAGAGAAAGACTCCCCCCTACCCCGCCCCACCCCCTCCAGGACAACACTCTAGCTGCAAGCCTTCTGAAGCCCACCCTTAACCTCAAACTACAGCCCCTTTAGCACAGGTCAGGTTTAGCCTCCTTGCTACTTGCAGAGAAACCACAGGTGGCCGTTTCTGCAGCTGGACAGACTTCTCCAGTTCAGCAGGATGGTTCTTTTATTTTCTTGTTTTTGGAGACCTTATCTGTGTTGAGATTACAGACAGCCACGGCAAATTAGGTCAAATGACTAATCTAGTTGTAACATCTATGAGGCCAAATTCCAGTTTGTAATAAAGTGCTTAGAAACACATTTATAGTACAGACCATAATAGTTGGGCCCTTCACAAATGACTTTACGGGCAGGTAAAACTGACTCTGCTCTCTCTGTGTGTACATCTGCCTCAGAGAGACCAGTCGGACCTGAGTCACAGTAAGGACCAACTGGTCTATAATGCAAGCCTGTCTCTAACACCACTGGTAACAAAAACCCAGAGGACAAGGTGCACTCAAGAAAAACCGGACAAGAAATACTGTATTTGGTGCAGTGTCAAGTGTTAGTAACTTGACTACTAAAGAAACCATCTTAAAAAAAAAAAAAAAAAGTTTAAAAAAAAAAAAAATTTAAAAAAAAAAAAAAAAAAACAAAAAAAAAAAAAAAGTAACTAGAAATGATGGCAAGCTGGTGATAATCTCTATTTTCAAATTAAAGCAGAAGCCAGGCAGTGAACAACACACAAACCATAGTAGACTTAGAAGCCAAGATTGAGCCTACAAGGCCAAGTTACAAACACCTGCAGTCAGGGTTTAGGGTAGTGTTCCTGTTGACATTAAACCAAAACAGCACAAAGAAGAAAAAAAAATCCACAAAACCAGCATCACTAAGGGCACCACTACTGATAGCTAATGACCTGTTGCTGTTTACATTAAAAGCAATCACTTCACTAAGGCAAAATAGTGACCACAAGAAATTAGTTTACAAGAGGCTCCTAAAATAGTTAGAGGTGGGGCTTGCTTATGTAAAAAACCCTTCATGTATGTAGTTCTCACTAGATCTTTTCTTTTCCCCCAGAACAGTATTATTCTCTTAGTATTTCAGACACACCTAAGGAAAAACTGCAGGCTTCCTGTAACCCCACCACTGACATGCCTACAGGTCCTCCTGGCAGCACCCAGGGCTGTAACTGTCAACGTACACACTGCGGTAAGTACTTGTCACAACGGGGACAACACGCAGGCAAGAACTGGACAAGCAGACGAAAACACACCAGAACAGAAGAAAAACACACGCAACACACATGAAATCCAATCCCACAAGTTCACCTGGCCTGCAACAGTAAGGAACCCCAGAATTTTTCAGGATGGCCGACGGCACGGCAGAGTCAGGCTGAGCTGAGAGTCAGCAGTAATGCCACCCGATTTCCACACCACCCTCTGACAACTACTTCTACAGCTGGAACCACCGGTGGGGCAACCAAAGAGGATCATGCAGCAGCACTGAAAGCTAACAACTGGTCACGTGGGCAGAGCGAACATTGGCTAGCTTGCCTTCAATTTAAAAAAACAAAAACCCAAACACACAACGTTGCAAACCTTTCTGCAGCACCTCTGACGACCAATATTGCAAGAACTGAACCGTTGACAAGATTCAAACCCCACTTTCCCTCCCTCGGAGATGGCCTGCTAGATGGGTGACATTTCCCGCGGGGCATGCCCTTCTGACAGGTGTCCCCTTCCACTCACTTCCTTTCTCCTCCACCAACTGGCCTCTAGCCTGAGAGAGACCAGCGAGGAGAAATGACAGACAGTAAGGCAATCTTACAATGTCAGAAAAAAAAATGTATTTGGCTTTTTTTTTCTTTAAAATAAGTGCATACAAATACGGCTAGAAGCATTTGTTTGCCAAGTGCTCTTTAAAAAACAAAAACAAAAAACAAAAGCAGCCAAGTCGCAGCCTACATAGAACAGCAACTGTCACCCAGAGTCAAGCACAGACAGCCTAACAACGTTAACAAAAGAAGAAAATGCCTTAAAGTACATACCTTTTGTCGTCAAAAAAAAAAAAAAAAAATAGAAACACAATGTATTCAAAAAAAATCAAAATTATACAGCCATGTTTATGAAGTCTACATTTCCCTTGTCTTGGATATATATATTTATATATATATATATAATGTATGGAAATCTATATACAGTTCAACAAGTTTGAGTTAAGGGTAACCATGGGCTTTTCTGAACGCAGAAAGTCACGAGTCTCTCTCCTTCTTCACTTTCACATCTCCAGCGAGGATGGTGGCAATTTCTCCTTGCATGAAGGCCCAGGGGACATTGGAGCCCACCAGAGGACACTTCTCCCCACTTGGGCAATAGACCTCTCCGCTAGCGCCCTGCTGTTTAATGCTTTGTCTGGAGCAAGGGAAACAGAACTTGTGCGAAGGGACAGACGGGCACTGCACAAAGTGGGTATCCTCCAGCCGCTCGTGGCAGAGGGTGCAACACAGGGGGGCGCTGGCTGCCAGAGAGGAGTCTGGGAGGCTGGCAGGATGCACCGGCTCCAGTCCTCCAGTGCTGCCGGTGGCCTGGCCCCCCACCTCTCTGGGGCCAAGCCTTCTTTGGTTCATAGAGGAGGGAGAGGGCGGGCTGCTGCTGTTCCTCCTGGTGGTGGAGTGAACCTGGGTGGCATCTTTCGAGGCGTGACTCCCCCCAGCATTGTCTGCTACTAAAATCAGGGCTGCCATTGGGGATTGGCCATTCTGGGCCGCTTCAGGCGGTGTGGTCCGGTTGGAATGAGGAGAGGCAGTAGGGGGTGGCGGAGACACAAAAGAGGATGTAGGGGTGATGGGGATCTTGAGCCCTTCTGTGGAAGTGGACAGCCAAGGCTGTGCCTCGCCATTGATCTTAGGGGGCCCGACTTCCCCTTCCGGTTCTGGAGAGGGCTTCCTTTTCCTTGCTGTCCTTGCAACTGGAAAGAGGCAAGTATGGAAGAAAAGGGAAATTAATGGAAATGTAACCCCCAAAGAAACACCTCCCATCTCCAAAAACACACCTAGCACACCCTAGTTCTGCACGAAGCTTCAAACGTCTCCCCTAGTAAGTGGGTCTGAGCCTGCACACCACTTCCAAGGTAAGCTAAATCATGGAAGCCTGCCTGAAACGCTCCAACCCCAAACCAGCTCATGTGACTGCATTAACAGACAGGTTAAAGGGTGACTGCTGCCCTCACGCTTCCATCCAAGAATGTGCTGGGAAAGGAAAACCCCGTGTCTCTGCTATCAACTCGTTCTGACTCATCCCTGTTGTGCTGGTTCAGCAGAGGAACCACGTTGCCACTAAGCTCTGGTTCAGCCCCAGGCCGACCAGGAAGTTGGCTGTTTGTTGTTTCTGGTCTAAGGCAAAACTGTGCATGGAAGAATGGATCCCCCCGCCGCACACACACATGGGTGGGCAGGCGCGCAAGCGCTGCCTCTAACTCCACGCCCTCCACCCCTTCTCCCCTCGCCCCACTGCCGCCCCTACCTGCTTTAGACCCGTTGGCCCCGTTGGCCTCGAAACCCAACAACCTGCCTGCTGCAGTCAAGGCCGGCTCCTTCTTGAACTTGCTCTCGAAGGGGCCCGAGTGGCCGTGCTGGTGCAGCGCCAGGAGCGTGTCTCGCACCGTCTTAGGCCTGCTGGCCCAGTCCTGCTCCCCGGGCGCTCGGCCTTTGCCTGCAGCGTCGGCGCTCAGCTCGCTCGCCCCGGCCGCGCCGGATAAGCTGTCGGCCGGGCTCCGGTGTGCGGGCTGTGCCTTCTCCTTGCTCGGCTCGCGCGCCTCGTGCTCCGCCGTCGCGCTCGACACAGACGCCGGGCGTTTGTGGGTGCCTAACTCGGAGGGCTGAGCTCCCAGGCCCGGTGTACCGCTCACCGCGGCCAGTGTGGCCGCAGCACGGCCGCTCAGCCCCAACGCAGCGGAACCGTTCACCAAAGGCACCAGGGTGGGCGGAACGGCGTGTGCACGCCGAGGGTTAGGGCTCTGGCGATTCAGCTCCGGCGGCTCCTCCAGCTTGGAGAAGCCGTTGGGCACTAGGATGCCATTCGCCGGCGCGGGCTGCGGCGCGGCAGACTGTGCGAGGCCTGCACCCGCACGCGTGCTGAAGTCGGAGGCCAGGCGCGGGGCACGATCCGGCGCCAGCGGGTAGCGCTCCATGGCCTGGGCGCGCGCGGCCTCGGCGCCCGCGTGGCCCAGCTGCGGCGGCGGCTGCAGCAGTAGGTCCTTGGCCGACAGTGGGGGTGGCTTGGCGGCTGCAGGCTGTGAGCCGGTCGGGGAGCGGCCCTCCGAGAAGCAGCCGTGAGCACGCTTCAGCTGGCGCGCCGTCTCGATGACGAACTCCACGCGGTCGGCGCCCTCGTAGTTGACGCAGCCGCGGCACACGGGCTCCGTGAAGTCCCAGATCATGGCCCAGGGCATGCGGGGCAGGTCACACAGATAGCACGACTGGCGCCGAGAGGCGGCCGCCACCGCCACCGCCGCGGCCATGTCCGCACAGCCCGCCGCGCCGCAGG